CTGGCTCCTGAGATTTGTCCTGTCCAATTCAGGGCTCGAGGAACAAGAGGAAGCGATCCGATACTACGTCAAGTTCTTTGACGAGCACAAGGATGCCATCGCAGAAGTTCGCAAGAACGGAAAGCTGGAAAAGTGGGACCAGATTACAAAGTTCCAAGTCACGGGCAACCATAAGTACACGAGCGAAGGAGAACCAGTGTTCTACATCCGCTTGGGTCTTTGCAACACCAAAGCACTCATGGATGCACACTCTTACGATGATGTTGTGCTTTGGATGATTCTCAACAGATTGAACAACATGGATTACTGCGACCGAGAGACACGCAAGAGAAACAAGATTGTCAAGTGCATCTCAGTCCTTGACTTTCAGGGCTTCAGTCTCACCAGAGGCAACGACTCGCGTTTCTCCAAAATCATTGGTGACACTTCCAAGATCTCTGAAAAGATCTTTCCACAGCTGCTTGGAAAGTCAGTGTTTGTGAATGTGCCATCGTACTTTATGTTTGTCCTGAATCTGATCAAGCCCTTGATGTCCAAAAAGACTGTCGAAAAGATGACGTTTTGTCCAGGACAGCTCTCTGGCAAGCCCATCTCTGCTTGTCCGTACCTGAGAATGTATCTCAAACTGGAAGACGTGCCATCATTTTTGGGTGGACAATGCAACTGCCCAGGTGGATGTGTTGGAGGAGCACCAAACTCTCTCAAGACCCCAATCGCTGAGATTGACCAAGATGGACTCATTAGCATCAATGTCAGTGCACGTAAATCAGAACAGATTCAGATTCCATTCGCTCAAGGCATGACTGCAGAGTATCATGTCAAAGTAGAGTCAAAGTCCATTGATTTCAGTCTCTCTTTTGTCCAATCAGATGGACAATCGATTCAGATCATTCCAAAGAAGACCATTCACTCTACAGACACCATCAAGAGTACTTTCAAAATCCCACAAGATGGCATGCTCTCTCTGGACTTTGACAACACATCTTCCATTCTAAGATCAAAAAAGGTCTTTTACAAGGCAGAAGCTGCCTAGATCCTGACTTTGAAGACAATGGTAGATGCTTCCTTGTGTGGTCTGTCAACGATCCACTTGCCTTCCACATAGCTAGCTGTCACACCAGTAAAATTGCTTGCATCCAACCAACTGAACGATGTCTCAAAACTTGGTGCATTTCCTTTGATCACCAACCAGTGTGCTGCATCCACCAATGTTGGATTTTTGGTAGATTGCCAATCTGCTTCTATTCTACGCTGCGCTGGAATCTTAAACGACGATGTCTCCAAACACTCGAGATTGGACATCATTTGGTCTCTGGTGCACAGACTGAACGTTGCTTCAGATCCCTTCTCGACAATGTTGGGAGATGACAAGACAACTTGAGCAGAGTGGAACTTGCAGTTGTCACAAGCAGTTGGAATTTCGAGTGCTGCAAACTGATCAACACATACAGGTGTGCCAGTAGCGAGTCTGGTCTGCACTGGTCCAGAGTCCAACAGTGTTGCTATTTGATAAATCAGTGGGCATTGAATCATTGGGAAAGATCCTGATTTTATGTGCGACCAGTCGCGTTGTGCGACACTTCGTCCCTCAAGCGCTTGAGACGCTCCACAGCTCTACTATTGTTGTTTTCATCCTTTTCAGAAAGGGTAGCACCTCTTTGGATCAAGAGCATTGGGACTTCGATGTATTTTGCATCCTGTGCATGCCACAACACAGATTCTCCGTTGTTGCAGATAGCTTGAACGTCAGCACCCATATCCAGTAGATACCTGCACACTTCTGCATACTTGCCCTTCCAGGCAGCGTACATCAACGGTGTATAGCCATCCGAGTCTCTTACATCCACATCTGCACCAGTATCAATCAAGATCTTGCAAAAAGAAGGATCGCTTTGTTCTGCTGCACGATGCAACACATTCTTGGTACCAGATCTGCACTCCCAGGCAACGATCGATGGATCATGCTGAATCAAGAGACGACAACACTCTAGACTGCGTCCAGATACAGCTTCCAGCAGTGGAGACGTCGCTCTCTCATTCCCAATGAATAAGGAAGCACCACGAGCCAACAAGAACTTGACAAACTCGACACTGTTGTATCTGCAGGCGCAAGCAAGCGGGCTATAATTGTTTGGTTGGTTTCCATCTATTCTGGCACCATTATCTAGTAAGATCTTGCAGTCATTGACTCGATTCCAGCGGGCAGCAGTGGACAGAGCATCAGACAGCCGTCCGATCCTCTCTTCTTCACTGGTTGCCAAATATTGAAAATAAAGCATCACATCTGCAGTATTTTCATTTGCATTCCACACCAAATACTGGTCATTATCAAGCAATCTTTTTGCCCCTGGTTGCTCTAGAAGCCACAGGATGCATTCCAGTCTCCCAAATCTGAGAGACGTGTTGAATGTACCGTAAATGGCATCGTATGGCAGCTCTGCACCTCTTTCAACCAAGAGCTGGACTGTTTCCAGGTTTCCGAAGGTAACAGCTAGCATCAAGACAGATCCTGCATGTTCACTCTCTGCGTGAACGTCTGCGCCTCTCTCGATCAATCTGATACACAATTGTGTATGATCTCCACATACTGCAAGTGCGAGCGGTGTATATCGGCCTTTGATGGATGAGGCATTGACATCAGCACCTAGATCCAACAGTATGTCGCATATCTCCTGCTGTCCAAAGAATGCAGCAATATGAAGCAGAGTAGTCTTACAATCACGATAGTTCAATAAACCCAGTGTGGTGCCAATATTGGGATGTCTCGTACGATTAGTGACAATCCAGTCATCACAAATAATCATTTTTGTGCTCGAGACATCTTCTGGTGTGATGAGTTTTCGAAGCAGACCAACCGCACCTCTGCAACAAGCAATGGCAAGTGAAAAGCTCCAAATGACTGTGTCAAGTGAGTTCCATCGGTTGATATAGACCAGCGGTGCCTTCTCCAGGAATTTTATCCTTTCATTATAGAGCACTTGAAACGGAGCACTCAACCTACCAGCATAAAGAAGCTTGCAGGTAGCAGACAGACGAACAAAGTCCCTGGCACCTACAAAAGTGATGATCAAATGCAAGAGTTCAAGTGGCAACTGAGTCAGGATCATTTTGGGAAAGAATGCCACGCACACGGAGAATGCCTTTGCGTCTAGTCTGATGGTTGTGAATTGGGTGTACAGTCTATTTCATCCTTCACAGATATGTGATTTCACTCGCTGCGTTTGTGAAAAGCTAGCAAAGTACTCTGGATGCTTTCGACCAGTAGCTGATCCCACGACACACCAATCGTCATGAAGAATCCTGCATGCTTGTTTCGTAACGACGCTTGCATACTTGCTCAACTGCTTGAGTTAGTCCATGCGACTCTCAAACTGATTGGACAGTCAAGAAATATGCAGAAAAGTTTATGCTTGACAGATTTAAAAGATGCTGTTTGAAGTCAGCCATGTGATGGCAGATCCCAGCAATGTGTCTTGAACAGTCTCTGGAGCGTCTTTGGGTGATCCAGACAATTCAAGATCTCCACCAGATGCAATCAAATAGGCTGCAATCTCTTCACGCTTCAGTCTCACAGCCATCATCAATGCAGTTTCTCCATCCTTGCTTCTTGAGTTGACATCTGCGCCATTCTCAATCAAGAGCTTGCAGATGATGAGAGAGTTGTAGCGAGCAGCCACATGAAGTGGATTGTCTCTACCAGACCTGCAACTCCATTGGACAATCTGTTGATCCAGTTCGATCAGAGTTTGACACGCTTCAAAACTGTTGAACTGCACTGCCGAGAGCAAGGGACAGGTCTTTTTTGTGTCTTTGATGTGCAAGGAAGCACCACGGTCGTACAGAAACTGAATGCATTCGACAGCATTGCCACGAGCAGCACAGGCGATGGGTGAATCTGCACTCTTTGGATCTCCATTGATTCTCGCACCATCTTCCAACAAGATACCAATGTCTTGCAACTGACGTCGCTCGACTGCTATCAAGATAGCTTTGTCCAACCATGACTGCCTCTTCCATTGAAAAGGCGGCAGATTGGCAAAATACACAACAACGTTGGCCGTGTTTTGCAGACAGATGGCAAAATCCAGCTCATGTTTCAATTCAATCAAGAGTTGTCTGACTTGTGGCTGTTGTAGAAACCATTGAATGCATTCGAGTCTGCCATGGGACAATACAAGTCGAAAATGCTCTGTAAAATGTGTGAGGTTCAACATGGCATCATTCTCCAGCAAGATGTTGATCATTTCCAATGTTCCACTCACCACTGCAAGATTTAACATGGTCATGCCATAATCTGTCAATCTGTTGATAGTTGCCTTTCTCTTGACCAACAAACGACAAATAGCGTCATGTTGCAGGTAGATGGCGAGTGTCAAAGGCGTGTAATCTCCACAACATTCCTGATTCACTTTTGAGCCTTGATCCAACAACCATTCACAAATCTCCACATGTCCATACAACACAGCCATGTGCAAAAGAGGCATTTCCATCCGCTCAGCTAGATTGAGAGCCATTACATCGAAACAAGCGCAGACTGAACTTTTGTGGTGAAAGTGTAATCCAATGGTTGTAAAACAGAAAATCTGCCTTCTTGATATCTTGTGCAGTCAAAAGATCTTTCAGAACTCGTGCATTGCCTTGCCGCATTGCCAACACGAGATTCAGCTCTCTTTTCCCAGTACTGGAGTGTCTGTATTCATCCAATATTTGTATTGGCCACTGCTGCATCATCTTTTCTATATTCTCGCCGTCCAATAGAAAGACAGCTGGCAGTCGTTTAGAGTACAGGCGTTTGCAAGACCTGTGAAGGCTCATGTAGTCTCTGCATTCAAGTCTACTCGTAATCAATTGCAACAGCTCCAATGGCAACTCCTCCATCAAAATCGCGGCAAAAAATTGAGCACAGCCTTGAATGGTCATCAGCCTCATGAATGCCATTTCCAGAGATTGAATGCACTCAAAGATAGTCTTTGACAAAAAGCAAAGAAAAAACAAAAAGATGAGGCCTAACGGAATTGAACCGCTGACCTTTGGATTTGGAATCCACTGCTCTACCATCTGAGCTAAGGCCCCATCTAGTGGTGGAAATCACTGATTTACTAAGATCCTGTACTTTTTTCATTTTACTATTTTCTCTCCAGATTCTTGCATGATGAAGAGAGTTTCTTGAGAGTGTGATCGAGATCAGGTGACACAAATTTTGCATGAATTCCAAATCCTATTCACGCAAGCGATCTGACTATGCGACAATTGCTTGTCTCTTTGGTGTGCTACTTGGCTTTTCAGAAGCGCTGTATCTTGAGCGATCCCAGACACAAGATCGAATTTACATCTTGCAAGCTTGCAATCTGTTTGGTCTTTCTGATGAAACAGTGATCTGGGCAGTATGGTTCTTGGTGGCTGTGTTGAGTCTTTCTGGTATTACTTCAGGATTGTGGTTTTGGATGCGGTCCGTGAATCCAGCTGTGACCCCTGAAACGCATTTCTGGAGACAATTTGAAACAATTTCGGTGAACATGTTCCTTCTCAGTGCTGTGCAAGCCTTTGGCGATTATTGTGCTTACAAGTTTGGTGTGTTCAAGATCACACGAGATCATCTTGATCCATGGTCGATCTTGAAAGATTCTTTCTTTTGGATCCTGTGCTTTGAACTTGCTTGGTACACGCAGCATCGCATGATGCATGATGTCAAGTTCTTGTGGATATATGGCCATGCGTATCATCATCAGTGGAAGAAGCCAGAACACATGATAGGCATCACAGTACCTGAATTGATGGTAGAACTTTGCTTTTGATCACATTGTCGAAGTTTACGTGACCATGTCGTCCTCATTTCTGGGATATCTGCTCTTTCCAATCAACTTCCATGTGGGAAAAGCGATTTCTCTAGGATACATGATCTTAGCAGTGCTCGTTCATTGGGATGGCTTTCAATTGTCTCGGTACCACTTGAATCACCATTATCTGGTCAACAAGAACTTTGGTTCCCACATTCCAGTGTTTGACATTCTCTTTGGCACCTATCAAGCAGAATTTGACAATAAACTTTGATGCGGCAAGCACAAAAGCTCAAGTCCCTTGTTTGACACTAGCAATACACCCACAGGAGTAGGGTCACTGTTTCAACATCATGGACAGGAAGCCAAAGAGAGGACACTGGTGCTGAAGTTTGAGAGATTCCAAGACTCGTTTCTGGTCTTGATTGGATACCAGTCTGGATTTCAGGTTTGGAAGCACACCAACGACACATTCCAAGAGCTAGTATCAGTCAAGGGACCAAAGATCATTGATTTGGGGCTGGTCAAGAACCCAACCGTCGATTATGACGCCTTTAGGAGACACAGACCCATGATTGCATATGTGTATGATGATTGATCCAAGCGACAAGCAGCAAGTTATCTTTTACTCTCTTACAGCACTCACGACGTCACACACGATTGATGTGCAGGAGCCAGTGCTTGGAATCAAGTCATCAACGACATTTGTGGCTGTACTGTTGCAATCAAGGCTACAGCTGTACGATCAGTCGACGTTGACCCTCAAACACGAATTTGTAGATCTTTTGGACTCTCCTGTGAATGATTTGGCAGCTTTTGACATTGCATCGATTGGAGTCTGTTATTCTACCTGTACAAAAATACAATCACCTCCAGAAGAGCTCTTCCATATGGATGGCGACCTGTCACACTTTACGACAGAAGTAGCTCGTGGATTGGCTTCTGGCGTCAAGAAGATGGGAGGATTTGTATCCAACATGCTCTATCCAGAAAAGGACACTATGCAGGATGGAACAGTCATGCTCAAGTTCTTTCAAGGGCACTCGGTCATCTTCAAACCACACTCACACCCAGTGTCGCTGTTGGTGTTTTCACCTACAGAAACAATGATGTGCTCTGTTTCAACCAATGGCACGACCATCTATGGCTGGTCACTTTTGGACTGTCTGGATCCAAAGATCAAATCGCTGCCAAAGTGCATCTTCAAACTGGAACGAGGGATTACGACAGCTATTATTACAGACATCAATATCAGTCCAGATGAGCGATACGTCACAGTGACATCGTCGAGAGGGACAACACACGTTTTTGAACCAGAAAAGACATCAGAACCATTGACGAGATTATGCTCTCGCTCATCCTACCAGATGGTCAAGAATCTCATGGGATCAAAGTCATTGGATACTGCTCAAGTGCACTTTTCCACTTCAATTGACGAAGCGATCTCAGATGAAGCATTTGAGGACATTGAGATATCTGAACGACTCGTCTGTTGCAGCTTTCTCAAGACAGATCAGCAAGTGCAAGTCTTTTCATGGGATCGTAAGCGATTGGGAATGCATCAGTTGGACAAGACACCACCGATTGAGTTTGACCTCATCCGAGAGCCAAACTGGCCACAAGTGGCTTACTCCATTGACCCCAAGCAGCGATACACTCAACAGGACCTGCTCCAGCGATGGCCGCAAATGATCGAACCATTAGTGCTTGAACCGTTCAAATTCTGGGACCACCCTCGCATCCGCTACAAGAAATAATAAGATGGTTTCCATATTATAGCTTTGGGTTCCAATTCCTTGACTCGGTCATGCAACCACGATTCGTATTCCGACATGGGTTCGATCAGCAGCCATGCACTCTCAGGATATCCCTGTTGTTGAAAATCTGCCTGAAAGCATCTGGGCTTGAAAAAGAGCGAGTCAGACACTGGTAGTCCCTGGTGTTGTCCAATTTTGAGTTGGTGTATCTCAAGTTGTTTCTGTTCAGGAGTCAGTTCTGACACTAGGATCACTCTAGGTACTTCGTGGGTAGTCGTATTTTGATTTCCCTGCTGGCATCAAGGAAACTTTAGAGCGTGAATGGTTAATTTTGGAGTGTCAGTGGTGTCAAATGCGACAAAGTGCATGCTGACTTCTCCTATCATGTTCATATCTCCAGGTGACTGCAGAGCCACCTTTACGACCTCTGTTGCTGGTTGGCAAAGCGGCCTTGATGCTTCCATCAAGTACATCAAGCTCACTGAGAAAGCCATTAAATTTTCTTCAGACAATGCTTGTAACGTCGTCACATACACTCTGCCGTATGTAGCAGGAGAGACTGGACAGGTATTGTGCACATCTTCGATTGCGTATGCAAATGTCAGTGTCATCATGATGAAGGCAAGCGATCCATCCAACAGTGCCATGCAATTCAAGAGATCACTGCTTGCCATTGTGCTTGCCATGATGTGAGTTCACAAATTTTCCGTATATTTTCTTTCCAAATTAAAAGGTAACACTGGCTCTCGATGATGATACCATTTGCTACACTGACACTCTGTGAAGACGCAAATATCACCAAGATCGTTGAGAGAGCATGAACTAACAATAGTAAGTCGTTTCCATATGAAGACAAATTGAGGTGATTTCCCATGATTTACCAAAAACTACAATTCCCTGATGGAACATTGCTAACCACAGAGTATTATCTTCATAGTGTTTGAAAATTCTTGAAATGGCTCGATGATGATCTCATTTGTCACAAGGGTAATTTGCGTCCGACTTTGATGAGGACAACCTTTGAATCTGAGAGTATTTTTCTAGATTGGCATTAAAGACGTGAGTCGTGGCTTTTCTTGATGCAGATGGGATACTCTTTCATCCACAGGCCCTCATACAGAGAAAGAATCCCCTTTATTTTACAGGGCTTGCTTCAGATGGTGTTCGCAGATGACATCATTCTTCCCTCCTCACGATAGATGGCAACCATCGGGGAGTTTGATACTCTTGATTCCAAGTTCTTTGAGCTGAAGACAACCAGTGACTATGTCTGGCACATTCTCTTTCTCGCAGTTTCCTTCATCGGGACCGTGTTGACACTCTTGGTCATCTTTAGCGCCATCCGCAAGAGATGCAGCAATCAGATGCTCCTGCTACTTTGTCTGAGTTGGGCAGACTTGGCATACTGTCTCACAGCCACCATATATTCGACCATCCATATTACCACCGGACAATTCCCATTTGGCAAATACGGCTGTCTCGTGAATGCCCTGTTGATTGTCTGCGGTGCTGGCATGTCTATTCTGTGTCTGTTTGCGATTGCGTACGATCGCTTTCGCTGCATCATCCTTCGAAAAGAGCCAACCACAAAAGAGATCTGGCTCTGGATAGCCCTCATGTTTGGCTTCTCCGTCCTGTTGACCTTTTGGCCTCTTGTCGATGGCAGCTATGCCCAGACTTATGGTGTTCTTGCCAAGAAGCTCAAATGCAACATTGCCTGTTGGAACAGACACCCACAAACACTCGTCCAGATCTGTTTGGCACTGATCATGATAGCCAGCAGCATTCTTGGTGTGCTGTACATGTACTTTTGTATCTTGCGCTTCTATTTTTTGCAATCCAAGCTGAGCAGCTCTACAAAGGATATGAAGTCCTTGTCAACGGACTACTACAATGGTGCCAGATCATCTGCGCACACTGAAAAGGATGATCGTGCTAGCTTGGAACGAAGACTCTTGATCAAGTGCCTCTCTGTTACTGTTGCTTTTATGGGCTGTTGGGCTCCCTTTGTTGTGAAAGCGATCATTGAGGTGTCATCTGGCCATCACATTGCAGAAGACTGGGATGGATTTATTACTACCATGACTGTCTTAAATTCGACACTGAATCCATTGATGCTCATGATCTTTGATGCTCGAGTGCGTGCCAATGTCATACAGCTCTTTTCGCATTATCCCATGCTTGGATCCAAGAGTGAGTCCATCAACTTTTCTCAGAGAAACTCCTTGGTTCACTAAAGACTTTCTTTGAGTGACGTCTCATCAGAGTTACGATTGTTTGACACTTGACAGCAAGATGTCATGGATCAACCATGAAGATCGCACTCTTTGTCTGATGGATAATGTGATGTCATTGTAAACGCTTTGAAACACTTTGATATTTTGTCTGACGTCATTCCAATGGCAACAATCGCAGAGCTCTACGACCGCTACCCAACTCTCTTGGTAGAGAATCAGCTGTACCACTATGTCTGGGGCTCTTTGCATCTAGTAGCTGCCATTGTAGGCCTCATCGCGTGCTCTCTAGTGATTTTCACCAG